TGCCTTCTCTTTCTTCTTTATTAGCATGGCGTTGGCAAGCCATACTAAGTGTGCTACCTCTTCTATGAATTCGACCTTCAGTAGCTTGTCAATTTTCGCTTTGATGATCGTCACTCGTTTGGGTGCAAAATGCCTTTTTTTTTGGATCACCGGTTTGGCAAGCTATCTCAGGATCGATGTTGGGTATGTCAGAAGGTGACCATGCAAAGAAGGCACGATTTTCTATAAGGAAAACTGTGAGTTCTTCCTTCTTGATTAGGCTTAAATGTGAGTTGATTCTAGCCGTCTTTTCCGGCTGTTAGGGATCAAGAATGATGTCATCGGCATCCTTTTCGGGTTTCCATCCTATCTCATCTGCTTGGGCACCATCTTCTTGATCCACTTGCTGTAATTACTATTGGGTAGCTTCTTTATCCTTTCGGACCTCAGTAGTATATACGGGGGTAAAAGTCTTATTCTTTGCTTCCTTCAATACTTGCACAGTGCATTGTCGAGATGCAGCCTGGTCAGACTTGATTTCTCCGACTCCTTATCTCGAGATGCAGAATCAGATTTTTTGATACTTGACGGAAGTGACGGCATCCAGCTTTATTAGCCAAGATTTATCTAGAATCCCATTGAAGGGAGATGGGTCACTTGCTATTGTGAACGTCTACTTTGAGACAATTGGTGGTGTTTTCACGTCAAGTGTGATATGGTCGATGACAGTCGAGGTGTGCTCGTTGAATCCAGTGAGTACTTTCGCTCGGCGCATCATTGTGCTTTCCAGGCCCATCTTCTAAATTACTAAGAGTTGAAGTAAGTTGATTGCACTTCCATTGTCAACCATCATTCTGTTGGCTATAACATGGGCTAGTTAGACATATACTATTAATGCGTCGTCGTGTAGAAAATCAACACCTTTGGTATTTTGCTCGGTGAAGCTAATGATGGGTCTAGGATGAATGTTGACTGCTTGGACTTGTGAAACTAGTAAAGCCTGCTGGATCTTCCTCTTCTTTGAATTGTTGGTGGCCTCCAAGTGCTCTGATTCGGCGAAGATGCTATTGATCTAAATCGTCTTGGTAGATGGTTCTTCGTTGGTGTTTGTATTCCTTCTAGGCTGCCCAGCCAACTTGTCCAAGTATCTGTCGACCTTGCCTTCTTTCACGAGCTTCTCTAGGTAGTTCTTCTAAGTATAGCAGTCGTCGGTTGTGTGACTAGGACCTGGGTGGAATGCGCAGTACTTGGTGTGATCCAACTTGGAAGTATCTCTTTTTGATTGTTTTGACAACTTAAACCATGGCTCGCTCTTGATGTCGCGAAGGATTTGGTGGATCGGGATTAAAAACTTAGAGTAGTTCTTGATCGTCGGGCCTTCTTTAGTTGTGGTTGGTCTTTACGTTTGGCCTTTTGCCTGCTTTTGTTGTACTGCTTCTCATCCTCCTTTCTTTGAGCCACTGCCGACTATTTTCGAGGCTGCTTTGATGTTTTGTCTGCTCGCTGAGCCTCTTCCCAAAGTGCATACTTCTCTGTCAGAGCGAAAGAGTCTGCCAGAGTTAGGTATTCTTTCATGATCAATTCTCCAAACAGTGGGTGGTTTGATGGGAATCATTTTTGGAAGGCTGCACTTGCTATTGAGTCGTCGCATCTGATTATCTTCGCCTTTTTTACTTTGAACCTTTTCACGTAGCCGCAAAACGACTCATTTTGATTCTTCTTCACATTGAACAAATGGTCGGACTTTTTCTTAATCGAGCGGTAGGATAAGTATTCTTTGATGAAAATCGAGGACATATCATCAAAACTCTGGATGGATCATGGCGGCGGGGTGTGAAACCAATTTTACGCCTTGCCTTGTAAAGTGGTGACGAATATCTTGCACATAAGGGCATCGTTGTTCCGATAAAGGACCATCGTGCTTCGGTAGTGCTTCAAGTGCCTTTCTGGACTCCATCTCATGAAAGATGTTAAATGTGGCATGCTAAACTTACGTGGAGACTCTGCCTGCTCGATCGTGTCTGTGAAGGGTGACCTGTTTATTTTGGTCATGTCATGTCGTAGTGCTTCATCGGCGACTTCATTGCATTGCGCAATTGCTCCTTTAAGATTTTACTCTGTCTGTCGTACTGCCTACTTCGATGTGATGTGAAGGATATTCCTTGCCGGCCTAACTGCGAATGAACGCCTCGCCTGGAAGGCTGTTCATGTTGATTATCGGAGTGTGGCCCCAACTATGAGTGTATGCTCATCTGTGGGCCTAGTTGAGAGTGCACGCTCCTCCGCGCGCTAAGACGGGAGTATATGTTATCTCGGGGGCCCAATCAGAAGTGTACACTGCTCAAACGATCGATTCGTGGTTGGTCAAGTAACTATTTGCCTGGACGCTGCTGGAGAGGTTCCTCATCTGCCCTTGTTTTACTTCGGAACACCTCATCTGAGGCATGTTAGATCTCAGCTTGTTGTAAGAGTTGATTCGCTAAGGTTGTCTATTGTGCAAGAGCGCTTGTCAACTCAATGACTTGTTGAGACAAGTGTTGTTTGCCATTCAGATTGGAAGAGCTTGGAAGGAATGCATCTCCTTGAGCAATGGAAGTGTGGTAGAATCTGGGCACAAAAATTCAAATTAAGAAGTGTCAAATCCGCGAAAAAATATGGTGAAAATGCCCCCGGTTTAATCGTAGGCTTAGAAATTTGAATCTAAGACGGTTGAACCTGTCTTGGACCGAGGTGAATTGCTAGAAAGGCCACGGGAGTGGGCTGCTCAACGTGTGGCGCACGTGGGTGAGAGGCTAGGACTCGGCTTGGCAAGGTGTTGGGTTTGGGCGGCTGGGATTGAGCTTGGGCAGCTCGGGCCATTGAAGCTTAAAATGGCACGGCTTAGACCGTGGCCTTGGCGTCATGGGTTTTGCTAAGGGTAGCCACTGTGGTGGTTGCTATGGTGGTGCCCCGTGAGGGTGGTGGCGTTTCACTCATCGTTGTGTTGAGCCTTATAGATCGCCGCAGTCCTAATTCTTGAACGTTGGAATTTCCATTTGTCGAGGTTTCCGAATCTCTTGCCATTGTACCTTTCTTTTACGTTTTATCAAAGAATTTTTAGAAATAAAAATTCCAAGGATAAGAATGTACGAAAAATCTACAAATGAACAAGAAAACGAAAAACATTGAATGCGAGAGTCTTCTACGAGTGTGTGACTCAAGCTCTCAATGAAAGCATACAAATTTCCGCCTTCTTCTTCTTGGACAAAATTGCACCGCCAAAACAATTAACACCTTAGGTCAAGGCCAAGAGCCTCACACATCCACGATGAATTTAGGGGGGGGGGGTGGCTTTGTCCGAAAAACCTCCGATGGCCATGTTAAAATTTGAGGGAAAAGTGTTTAGAGAAATTTTGAGAATTTAGCAAGAGAATTGGAATTAGGTTTTTGGAGAAATGGGGTGGTATTTATAAGGGTGTGGCCAGCCCTAAGTGTTAAAATCAATTAATTAGCTAATTAATATAATTTGGAAGAAATGATTTGGGAGTTACCTTGTGGGGAGGATTTGATGAGGATGGATGAAATAGGTTTTGAATAATTACCTATTTTGATCACTTTTGACCTTGATTGAGTCGTGATTGTTTGCTACTTGCACGTAGGAGTTCCGGTGTGCTTGAGGGTAATTTTGTCTTTTTACCCTAGAATCCACGTGTCATCTTCATATTTTTCTTGATTATTTTTAGCTCAACAATGGGACAATTCAAGGGCATCTTGCCTTGAACTTGACACTGTTCGCATGAATATATCAATCGAGACTCATTTGGAAAAAAGATTGAAATTCTTCCAATCTGGTCTCTTAGCACCTTAGCATTCTCATGAGTTACTGGCAGCTTCCTTGCCTTTTCATACTCATTTTTTCATGGAGGAAAAGTAAGTTGAACACACTTGTAGACTTTTGATTGCATGACTTTCCATCGATAATCATTATGACTTGTGGCAGCGAGTTGTGATCCGCCGAGAACAGGTGTGACTGTATTTTGTACATCATGGTGTGATGAAGAGTGTCTACAGTTTCTCCTGCTCGCATATTTGCTCTTTACATCTGGATCATCACTTGTAAGGTGTTGGAGAGTGTGGGTCTGGTGAGACCAAAAGTGAATTTAGGTTCCACTTGGACAAGTACGTGTCCATTATAGAGTCCTACTTCAGTTGCCATTATTATTGCATCTTCAAGGATATTCCATCGCGTGTCTACCAAAAATATTAGACATGTGATGTTTTTGCTAGCCAAGATATTGGGTTGTATTCCCAATCTTATGGCTTTGGGATGTAGTCCTCAATAGCCATCTCTCCAATATTTTTACTGATCTTTTTTCTGACAAGATGGAAATATAATTTTCTGGAGAAGAGCTAGAAATGGTTTGTACAACAACAGTAGATGACTTATATACAAACGCTAACTTGGGTTGTGCTATAGGTACAAGACTCCTAAATGTTCTAGAAACTAGAGAAATCTTATAATATTGGTAAGGATTTAAGATATTAAGCTTAAAAGGTGCAGAAGATGAACTTGGAGCTTCTGTAGTCCAGTTAGACTCGAAGTGATAGTTTGGTGCTACTCGTGACATAGATTATCAAGAATCTGAAGCAACTAACTCAGATGGGGTTATTTCTGCCATGGCTCCTACCAACACTGGATCCTCAAGAGGGTTTACACCAATACGACCTCGAATAGGAAGACTAATCACAACAACTCGGTGGGACTTACAATGCCAACCCTTGCTACTGCCCTTGTGTTTACCAACTTCCTGAAGGTACTTAAAATATGAAAGAGACTTTTTGGAGAGAACTTCACTGAGATTCAGTTTTGATGCAGACGATTAGACTTACGAATACACAAAACATGTTTGAGCCACTAGAAGAGGATGGCTCTGATACCATTAAAATTTAAAGCTTTACTCTAACTAGGATCTTCACTAAGGATGACTCAAATAAGGATATTTACTCACGAGAAGTTTATACAAAGAATTGATTTCATTCCAGTATGCCTTTTTACATAAAATTCGCACATATTTATAGGCCTAGGAGTAACTCTTCCGAACCTCACCTAAAACTACCTGGGGACATGAAATATCTTCCTCTTTTGTCCATTCTTTACACAATATAAGGAGGAATCTCCTTTATATCACAATCAACAAAATTTTACTTCACACTCAAATTATTCTAGATGTTACTTTACAACACTTCAACTACTATTATACGATTCCTCGTGTCATTTTGCCACCATCTTGTCACCATCCACCACACTTCCACGTGCTTTAATCACATCCATCATTAGGCTAGTATTCATCATCAAGTTCCTCTGAGTCATCATATCCTCCCTCAAGTCTTGTTCATTCCAGAATAAGTATTCTTGTTCATGCTGCCATGTGTGTAGCTATGCTGAGCTTTTTGGAGTTATACCATAAATATGTATGTCATCTGCAACATGTACTCCATAAATGGGGGCAAGAAAATTTCTGATTGGTAAGACAAGAAATCCATCGTTGTGGGTCTTCATGGTAATGATAACGTAGAACCATTAGCATATATAGGGGGAATCAGATTATTCCAATATTTGCTCAAGCAAATTATGATGACTAGTCTACCTTGGGTGGTAAAACACTCTTCTCTGAAGATGTTCAAGATTCATTAGCTTATTTGGTGTATGAGTCGGTATGTCCAGCCTACATGATATATTTTTCTAGCTTACGCACTACGTTTGGGAATTTGTAGACTAGTAGTTGTGTAAGTGGTTTATTAGAACTTGTTTGGGATTCCTTCTAGAAAGTAAAACTACTTTATGAAAAGCGTAAACGCTTGAGTATGCTTGGCGGAAAAGCTTAGAAGTGCCTATGGATTATAGAACTGATTTTCTATAACAATTAAAAATTCTTCTCTTACCACAATTTTCGTACCACATTTCTAATAGAAATGAGACCTGTATGTGATGGTGGCCCTTACCTCCATTAGAAATGTGGTACAAATATAGTATGAAAAATGTGGTAAACGTAGGATTACTAAAAAACAATTATCAGAGAAGTGTGCTTTTCAAGAAGCTCGTTGAAATTTTTATTGTCATTTAAGTTCTTATTCAGGTCAGTCCAGGATGATTTCATGTATATACTCACTAAAAATGTAAAGTACTAAAAATAAATATTTTACATTTGAAGGGAAATCACAATTTATTATTTAAAAATGTAAGTCAATACATAACAGAAAACAGACATTACCATTATTCATTCATGGAAAGTAGAATTCCAGAGATAAAGGTCCAGACATGGACGAAGAAAGCTTTCAAGCCGAAACAACAGAGAACCAGCGCAAAATGACAACCAGCGTGCTTCCACTTTTGACGAGTGTAGAACTTTTCATCGTCATCTTCATCAGCCTCCAAATTCATCCCACTCATGGCTGTCTTAATCCGACGGAGCTGTCTTTTCAGCTTCTCCAAATCGTGTAAGTTCTGTTCATCTTTTAGTTTGGTGTTAATATAGGTGAGCCCCTTCTTGTAAATCTTTACCAGAACTTGCACCGATAACATAAAACCAATAGTTAGCGTGAGCTTCAAGTTACCACAAACTATAAATTTGTTGGTGAAAGCAGACAAAGTTAACATTTGCATCACGATGTAAAAACAGGCCAGGTTGACAGCGGATGTTTGAAGATGGGTGAGATCTACATCTCGGTTGCTAATCTCCTTTTTCACCTCCGCGATTTTGTTCTTGAATTTCTTCTTTGTCTCACTGATGATGTCGTTTGGATTCATGATGTTCCTAAATGTGCAAGAATATTGAGACATTTAATAAAATAAAATAAAAGCACCAGCAGCAGTTGCTCAAACATTGACAGAAATTAATAATTCAGTTTACTGATCATAGAAAGCAGAGATTACAATAGTGCAGACATTGAAGTAAAATTTTTTCTGCAATAACAAATTTAGCTGGGAAAAAAACAGAAATCATTTTGAATCCGAACGGCAACGATAAGCTCAAACGCCGCCGGATCGATAAGCGTTTGTCAACAATAACCAAATACTGTAAGAATGAATATTTAAGAGCCAGTAAATATTATAAACCAGCACTAAAGACTTATGGAGATTTACCAGCGGCGGCCACCGTGCGTGGCGGAGAAGAAGGCACAACAACTGAAATGCCAAAAGAAGTAAAATAAAATAATCAACTTGGAAGTCCAATTATACCAACGATTTCAGAATATTTCTCAACCCAAAACGAAATTGAAAAAAAAAAAAAATCAGAAATCTTGCATAAACCAAAGCTAAATTGATACCTTGAGTAGTGGGGTTCTGGTGCGGAAATGGAGATCGAGAAAGTTTTAGTCTTTCTCAGGGATTTTAAATGTTAATAATGTAATGGAACCCGACAAAGCTTGCCGCACATTTCTTTCTTGTGACTTCAATAAATAGAACTGTAAATATTTATTCATTATTTTGTAGATTGTGATGTGGTTGCATTCTGAATCTCGACTTCACACAACAGCTAGGCTTGTTAGGTCAAAGGCGATTACTTTTGTTCTTCACTTGAAATTTTTTCCAGAGACCCACGAAATAAATCACAAATGAAGGACAGGCCAAATTTTGATTAATCCTTTTAAGTTAAGTATCTTTAGTATTTTAATTTGAATACATTCGTTAAAGTGAAGATGCTAGGTGTACAGTTTAATTAGAGCAGGAAAAAAAAAAGGTACCTGGTTAGCTAACATGAACAGAATAAAGCTGAACCAGAGCTAGATACATATCAATATATTGAATTAAAAAGAACAGCAGGAGGCATAGCCTTCCATATAATTCAGAGTGCGAAAGTAAAGCATGTAAAGAAAATTATGAATTAAATGTAATGATGCAAATATATTTTGAAAATAAGTTTTATTGAAAACTTACTGCGATGCAGATTACAAACAGGTATTGCCTAATGGCAGATGAAATAAGTAAACAAAGTGGAGCTCGCAGGCATCCTGAATAATATGTATTACAAGTGTTTGAAATATTCTCTGTTCTTGCGAATACGCAGAGGGTGTTTAAAAACTATTTCCATTTTCTGAAGATGAGTCCTCGTTATATAGAGCGAGGAGACTGAATGAAGCTTGCCGAATGGATCCGGGAATCCCGCTGACTGACTGAAGAACCTCTACTGTGGAGTCACGTTGTTACTTTTACAAAAGCTGAATGAATAGTGAAGATGCTTTGATTCTTTTACAAAAGTTAAATGAATAGTGACCTTTTTGTTTTTCACTATTGTGAATAGTGACCTTTTTGTTTTTCACTATTGGAGAATAATTCTTTTACGGAAGAGATGAAAGCAGCTACTGCTGATGAAGTTGCTGGGCTGACACAATCACATGGGCAAAAAATGCAGTTCAATAATCAAACGGATCTTGGGCATCTTGAAGATCTGCTTGATCTGCCCATTTGGAGGGAAGTTGAGATGAGGCATCAGAAGCGTCAGAGTCCGAATCTGAACCTTTTCTTTTTTGTAGCATTGCTGCTTCAGCCATGAGCAGTTGGGCCATATCCAGAAGCTGGGTAGACTTGGCAGATTTTTCTTTCTTCGAGCTAGAGGACTTAGCAGGTTTTCCTTTGAGGGAGGAGGATGGACTAATGTCTGATAGAGACTGAACTGGTTCTTGAGGTCTCGGGAGCTCAGGAAATTGCTGAGTGTCTGGCAAGGCCTGCGAGGGAGATGCAGCAATTGCTGGGGTTGAACTTTGGGGAAAATCTGCACGAACTAGATCAAGAATCTTCTGGTGATTGAATTTGTCCCACCATTTTACCCACCGGGCCCTGAAGATTCCTCCATTGTCTAACTGGAAATTCCATTTTAAGATCCATGGAACTCTGTATTTGGCCATGAATAGAGAGAATAGGGAAACCCTGCTGTCAAAACGGCTACGGTCAAAACCAGTCTTGAAACTATTGTTTAGTGCTTGACGAAGATCATCAGGAACAAGGGAAATATTTGGGCCATGAGTAGCCCACCAGTCTGGAAACCATGCTGGGAATCTCATTCTGAAACTTTTATCAAAAGTCACGAACCATGAATGACTAAAATCTTCCGTCTGATGAAGAAAAATATTAGTCCAAGCTTGAATGTAATCATAATAATTATAATTGTTGTTTGGTATGAGAACATGCTGGGTGTGAAGGGGTTTGGTATGATAAAGTGGGAGACCCCAATCTTGCTCAATGAGAAATTTTCCAATATGAAGTGAATGGTATAAAATTTTATTTTGGTTAGTGGTGCTATAGATTGGCTTAATAGCAATGCTTTCGGTCTCAGAGAGAATGGCCTGGTAGTATTTGAGGCTTTTGTATGGTGCTGCTGGGAGATAATGAGAATTTGGGGGCAGAAGCAATTTAGCAATGCGTTCTGGAGGTTGATTTTTATCAATGTCAAGAGGTATGCAAAAAAGCTTTTCAGTAGTGGGGTTTTGGATATATGGAGAGGTTTTAGCATAGCTAGGTGTTTTGGGTTGTGAAGGAGCTGGAGAACGAACTGAAGAGTAGGGATCATAAGGGGTGGCTAAGGCCGTTTGGTAGTTTGGTCGGATATTTCCTACTGTTGATCCTAAGGGAGTAAATCTGTTTGTAATGGCGAGGGCCGATGAAGAGTCGGGAATAGACTCTTGTTTTACTGGTGCTGGGGTTTGGGTGAGAGTGGCTGGAAGCCTTCTTTGATTAGGATTGGAACCCATTCTTCCCCTGCAAAATTCTCTGGTCAGAAAATCTGGTATGCAATTCTGGCTGCCTTTAATGTATTCAATATCAAAATAAAAAATACTTAATATGGCTTGCCAGCGTGCAAAAATTTGTTTTGATGCAATATTTTGAACATCCTTTTGTAAAACATGTTTTGCAGATTTGCAATCAACACGAACTAAAAATTTTTGATTTAATAAATCATCTTGGAATTTGCTAATGCATAATACAATTGATAAAATCTCTTTTTTAATAGTACTATAGTTACTTTGAGCCGGATTCCAAATTCCTGAATGGAAACGAACAATTTGTTCAGGAGATTCGGAAGAAGTTTTTTGTTTGAGGATACCTCCATAACCGATATCAGAAGCATCGGTCTCGACTATTTTGAGAGAGCCGGGAGTTGGAATGCCAAGGCAAGGTAAAGTCTTGACATGATTCTTTATCTGTTTGACAATGGAATTATAATTTTGAGTCCATGATGGAGGATTCTCCTTGAGACGGTCAAACAAAGGTTTACATTGTTGACGAAGATGAGGATAAAATTCTGAAACATAATTGAGAGAACCAAGGAATCTTTGAAGCTGGGTTTTATCAATAATTTGATCTGGAAATTTATCAGCAAACTGGATGACTCGATCAATTGGCTGAATGGTAGACCTGTAGATATGGTATCCTAAAAATCTAACTTTGGTCTGAAATAACTTAATCTTAGATGCCGAGACTACTAACCCATTAGACTTAATGATCCTAGCAAATGCATGCAAATGCTTCCAATGCTCATCTATTGATTTTGAGAAAATTAATACATAAACAATCGAAAAATGGCGAATAGAATCTAATAAAGATTTGTTTGTTAACTGTTCTTCAATTCTTTTGTGAAGAATTTCTTCCTGTAAAAAAGCAATTTGTTGGGATTTTGCAGTAATCTGGTTGAGAGTTTTTGAAACATTATCCTTTTGTAGTTGTTTTAACTTTTTAAGATCTGTTTCTATGCAAAATTCAAAAGTAATCTTTTGGCCAAAAACCTTTGTTGAAATACAGTTGTGATGAACTTTAAAAGGATAAATTAATGCAATGAAAGGAAGTCCCAAAATAACTGGATCAGAAATATTTTTAATTAAAACGAATGGAGTTTTAAAACAAACATTTTGTTGACAAACATGGGCTTTGGGGATCTCATATTTTAAATTCATTGGGGATTGATTAGCAGCGCTAAGTACCTCAGTTGATTTGTGATAATACTTTGTAGGTATCAACCCTTCTTGAATGCAATTTAAATCTGCGCCTGAATCAATTAAAGCGATGGTTTCTAAAGAAAAATCGTCAATTATTATTTTGATTTTTGAATACCATTTTCTAATTCTAATTTTGTCTAAAAGACTTAAAACAAGGTCCTTTGAAGAAGAAGATTTTTTTGAGTGAGTGTCGGAATCGGAGTTTGAGGAAGAATTACCTTGTTCTTCTACAAGCGCTTGTGTACGAGCTCTGCTGAGTTGTGAACGAATTTCTGTATTTTCAGATTTTAAAAACTTAATTTCTGATTTAATTTGGTTAATTTCTTTTTGTAAATCCTTGATGGTTAAATCCTTTTTTGGTTTATTAAACCGTTCCAAAGTGGTGCTGAGAGAAATCTTTTGAGAAGAAATTTGACTAGTGCCAGGTTCATGAGAAGAAATCAAATTTTTGAGTTTTTTCAAATAAAAAGATTTTAAATCAGGGTCATCGACTTTACTAATTAATTCCATTAAAAACTCTTCTTGTTCTTCTTGCTTATTAAGCACTGAAATTTTATTACAACAAGTGTCCGTGCACCCAAACTTAATGTTTGGCGAGGAGACGTCGCTAGAACTGCTAGAGTCGGAGACGGAAAAATCGGGATTTTTATCAGATTGACTAGAGTCGGTATTTCTAATTTCTAAAGCTTGAATAAGTTGAACCTTCTCTTCTTCAGAGATTTTTAGTTGGTTAATAACCTTTTTAACTCTACATTCATTTGCATAATGACCAAATTTGCCACATTTGTAGCATTTTCCTTTTTTATTTTGAAAATCCTTTTTAGGCTTTCGAAAAGGGTTTTTGTTTGGAGATGGTTTTTCATAAAATTTATTTGTTTGAAAAGGTTTGTTGGAAGATCTTTTGTTTTTATAAAATCTGGATTGATATTTAGAAAACTTGCTAGTTTGTTGGGCTTTTTTCTTTTTACTCGAAGGAGCAATTGGAGGTAAACCGTATTGTTCACAAAACGTTCCAAGTTCGTATTTAGCGATAGATTTATCTTTATTAACTTGTTTTGAAATCTTCATGTCAATACACATTTTCAATCCTTCCTTTTGTATAACATTAACTATGCTACCATAAGTAAGGGTATGATAAGGTATGACACCTTCTTCGTTAACTAAAACATTTCGGATTTTGTGAGCAAAAAGATTTGGTAAACCATTGATAAATTTTTCTTTCCAAAAAGGTTGATTACTATCTTCCCGAAGCATAACTCTGGATATAAAAACATCTTTATACCATCTGAAATCACTTAAGGTTGGACACCTTAAATTACTCAGTTGGTCGTGAATACGTGTAGTAACGTTGCTAGGTGTTCCTATAAAGTGTTCTATAATCGTATAAAGTAAAGTATTTACTCCGTCGGGTAATCCCTGTCCTATCGTTTCATCAAAGATGGGAAGTCCTTCCTCATCTTTTTTGACCGCAAAACGTATTTCATCTCTGGACTGAGAAGTTAAGTGCTTCTCCCACCAAGAATGAAGCATTCCAGTGAAACCAGTGACGAGAAGATCAACGACTTGTGTTTGTGTAAAATTGTGATTTGAAACGTAGCTATTGGCGACCATGGACATATGTTGGAGTTTGTTCAAAAGTTCTTGTTCTGACAATCCATCTATATTCCATTCATAGAGTTTGTCAGCAGAGACTGAAAATTGATTTTGGATATTTCTTTCTTCAAACTGAAGATCAGGGGGAGTTGGCCTGGGATACCAGTTTTTTGTAAGAGAAGTAGGGTTGACAGGACGAGTATGAATGCGTTTTAAATCAAAAGTTGGCTGAAGATCAATGTTTTGAAAAGCATTTTCAATGTTTTGGATAGCAGAACTAGTTTCCGTGTCCTGAGAAGAATCTGGGCCAGATGTGTTTTCTTCTTCGATGGAAACATCATTGTTTTGCAAAACATTAACAACTTTCTCTTTTTTGAGCTCAGTGAGCATATGATCAATTTTTTGTAAAGTAGTCATGGATTTTAAAGCAGTGGAACTTGAAGAAGTACTAGTAAAATTTACTAAA